TGAGGAGGGTCGTTTCATGGACTTCGGCTTCGGGGGAAGGAAGGGGGGTCGTATTTCCGAATTTTCCTCGACAGTTTGCGTGACCCTGAATAGAACTGTTGTTAGGGGCACTGTAGCAAAAACGACAATAGTTTTAGAAGGCCTTGGACAAATGAAGCTGTTCCTTAGGTTATAGGAGTTACGAGATGTGTTACACTTTCTGTCAACAGGTTAACAACTCCGCCCCAAAAACGATCCGCCCACTAGTTTGGTAGGCGATTTGGAAGAGCAGCGTTGCCTGCAGTAGTTCAACTCAATTGGGCATGGGTTGGCATGGCGCACAGACCAACCTTAGCGCCTAGCTTCTTACAATTAGTGACGCGTTACGATGTAGGAAGGTGACGCGAGTCTGCACTTGCGTACTTAGCTCTTCTAGCCACGGTGAGGGCTTGCTTAGTGGGTCTGAGCCCAAACCATACCTTTGAGGGTGGCGCCAACCACGCCGGGACGCCGAAGGGTCCAGGCGATCAATGATGTCCTTCCAGCCTAGTGATCATGGCTTTAAGTTTGTCCTGCAGTAGGCCATAAGGTATATTGATCCAATTGAATTCCTCACAGAGTGTACTGTAAGATCGATATTCGAAATACCATTGTAACCATGGTTAATAAATTCCCGGCCTAATTTTTCAGTGGAAAAGAACATTTTTCGTTGATGTTAAAAAAAAGAGCAAGTTGTTGCAAATCGTTTATTAGAACGTTGAGATCATGACCAGACTCATAAATTTTCACAGATAACTATACAATCAATATGCGCTTAATGTTAGCACTGATTATTTGATAAACTGTTAAATACTTAAATGTATAACCCGGCTGGATAAGGAATAAGATGCTCGCGGAAAACAACGATTTCGTAAGAACTTCAGCAGAAATATTCTACAACTGAGAAGGTCTTCAAAACATAGCGACGTTAAGAAACAAAAAAAGGCACAATGCACATGAAAGAGGCATATTATCGACTGAGAAAGCGTTCTAATCAATACTCATTTTTATACTACACTTTTTCATGGAGCACCTATCCGTACCATTGCATTGCGCAGATGGCGTTGTGTAGTGGAATGGCAGTGAGCGCTGCCACCAGAATGCCGAGAGTGTCCGCCAGGGATACGGTGGACAAGGCAAATTCACGTATGGAGGGGTCAATCTGAAAAGAGCACGTGTTGTCCTATAAATTCAGCACCAATCAATAATATTGCTCCGAGTATTGTCGCCAATTCCTTTGATCAGGAAATTTCTGAGACACTTGACGCTGTCATTTACGCAGCTGTTTCGAAAGCCGCGCGTCAATCAATATACTGTTTTGCTCAATGTGTGTGTCGCGTCTGCACTTGTTCACCAATAACTTAAAGGCAGTGAACACGATGCAGGAGGGCGGAGCTATCTCAATGACGTCATTGGACAAGAAAAGACGATCAATACCACAGCTCGCTGAGGAGCGTGACTGGGACCACAGGGCCTCTCCAGCAAAACTCAGTGACGTCATTATACCGCTCCGCCCTCCAACCAATCAATGTTCCACCGCCTTAATGTGAAATTTATCCAGTGCAGTATGTATTGCGTCCACAGCAATCAATCCGCATTAAAATGAATCCTAAAATGGCGTTACTTCCGCTTACATACCTTCCATAGCTATTTGAACTCAGAGCGGGAAAGGTACAAATAAACGTACGGAAAGAACTATCGCCGTCTTCAGGAACCTTGGCGATGCGTCAGGGATGAGTGCTCATCCATTCGGGCGGTGGGGGGGCATGCAAAGGCCTGAGCCCAACTCACAGCACGGACCTAAGTTTAGGGAAGGGAGGGGTTTAGGGAGGGAAGGGGTGTTCTAGGGGAGTATGTGAGGATTTTATGTGCTCAATGATGTTTCTACCCTCTCCTTGGCTCAATCCTTGTGTCACCTACTATCGGACCGGTTTAGAACACCGATCCCCCACCCCTCTATCAAAGACATGAGCGTCTAGGGTTGCTTTCACGTCACCGTCCAGTTTGAAGCAACAGTCCCAGCAGGGTGGGCGTGGTCGGAAACGACTGCAATCCCCTCGGCCGATTCCGACCACGCCCACTTCAGCTCCCTCCTAGCGGCTTTCCAAGGTGAGTTTTTGTTCAGTCACACTTCTTACGTTCTTGACTAGGGGCTGAACAGCTCCGAAGTGGGAATCGGCCGAGGGGATTGCAGCCGTTTCCGACCACGCCCACCCTGCTGGGACTGTTGCTTTAAGCTCCCTTAAAAGGAGTTGGACAATGGGTTTTGAGCGCATATAATCGATATCTCAGTAAATGTGAGCACTGATGGAAGACTGAAAACTGTCAAAATATTCCTTGACTCCTTACCTTTCTATGAATGTGATGAAATGTGTTCACATAAGATCCTCCTCCTATCAGACCTTCATAAAGTATAATGGCGCACACCATTCCGAAATGTGGAACAAATGCGTAGATTGCGTTGAACGTCAAGAAAATCGTGTTTAGTAACTGAAATGAGATGATCAGATGGTCTCAACATCAATAAACAATTTCGGAAGGCAGTTGGGTTCATGGCGTATCTTGAAGGATCTAATCGATAACGGCTGCCATACCTTCATTAGCCAGCTTAACGTAAAACATGTCAAAACATGTCATGCACAGAAATTCGCTGGGTTGCGAGTAAAATGTGCTACAGACTGGAAGACAGTATTGAACTTGCGAATCCTTGTCTGGACATGTCCATGGCGCTGTTTCTGCCTCTAACACATCCGTTTGACAGTGTTTTCGCAGAGAACACCCGCGCAATTTACGACGCATAGCTGATAAAGAGTCTACTCGGCAGGACGTTCGGCGTCTTTTATAGACCTTTTCGAGGTACTGGTTTGTGCTGACCGCTTGGCTACAAGCGTGTTGGTGCTAATCTGAAATTTTGGCAAGCCGTCCTAGGATGGCAAAAAGTTTCCTAAGAAAAATAGGCGCAGAAAGTTTACCTAAGAAAAATAGGCTGGCTTGCCCATTTTGCTTTTCCTTCATTCATTCGGGGAAATGATCATCAATCCTTCAGGCAATATTGCTTTTCCTTCTTTCACGGAAATTTGTTGCGATATTCCGTAGAGTGATTGTCTTTG